TGACTTTCCCGAGTGGACGTTTCTCTTTTGCTTACTACTGCCCCACAAGTAGGGCATCGATGCAAAAGTTCATCCAATTGATCCATAAATACTAGGAATTTGCTGTCGTTTTGGGGAGTTTGAGGTTTCAACTTTGATGATACTGCCATTGAAACTTCTTCCTCATCATCATCATTACTTTCCTCACTTTTATAGGGGATATAAGATGGGTCTTTGTGAGGGGATACATTTTCAATACTCTCATTTTCACTGCCTTGTTCTTCTTCAGTGTTAAAGAACCAGGCTTCCCCATCAAAAAGGCCTGGTTCGGTCTGAGTGTACTGGTCACAAAGACCAAAGAAGTCAGGTGTTTGGGTCCCTACTGATCTCAGCACAAGACTTTCTCCTCGAGTGTTAACTTGACATCCAAAATCATGCGTCTCTATAGGCGAGCTAGTAAGAACCAATGCGATCTTCACATTCTCAGGTTCCTCAAGAACTTGTTCACTGGGGCTGGCTGTTTGGTCACATGCACTTGAAGTACTAGGTTCTCCAACAGCAACAGGTAGGGCAAGGTGAGAGGATGTCAGAGCTAATGAACTGCAATAGAAGGAATTAGCCTCTATCACCACCCCAGATTTAGAAAATGATTAATATTCCAATGAAAAAATACAGCAAAGGGCCTTTTCATTATTGCAGGTTTTAACATTGCGTGACTGCGTTTATGAACATCTGCGGATAATAGTCTACCATAAGACCAGCACGCAAACTCATTTTTTTTTTTTCAATATGAATTGACAATCCTTACCTCTTGTTTAGATCTTTCCTGGAGGCGCCTCTCAGATGATAGTCTCAGCTTCTTTTTTGGATGGTGGTTGAAAATTGTTGCACTGCATCTGGCTTTAAATTACGTTGGGTAGATGTAAATCCAAGAAGTTCAGCTTTTAGGTCACGCTTGTAGCCTTCAGGTTCGAAGTGAAGCGAACATACCCTGGAATCTTTTGTAACAACAAGATCTAGCCGGGATAATTTCGCCAGCCACTCTTTCAAGAGCTTATCATCAGTGGGAAATCTGTGGTAGCTTACCCCTTGCTTACTACCAACATATCGAAAATCACTAGTGCAACCCACAGCGCTACAGTAGACCATGATGAAAGATTTAGAATATCCCGACAACAGTACTAACTATGAAAGACAACTAACACAACGATAGAAAGTAAACCTTGTGCTACGAATAGCTTTATTTATACGGTTCACATTGTGCAATACCGGAAAATTTCTCCTCGTAACTCTCAAAAATTACGAAAGGTTGGACTCACATGTCGCCAACTTGCGCCATGTTCAAACAAACATGCTTTGTAGAATAGTGCTCCGTCATCGTGCCCTTTGAGCTGATCAGGAATAACACAGAACACCGTAGTCGAAAAAATCCAATTTCATAACCTCGTTAAAACATTAAATTATGGCAACTTCTGCCGGTGCATCTACAAATAATAAATAAATGCCACCAGCGGGTAAGTTTGTAAGCTGTACAGCTTGTAATGAAGGGAACACTTTAATTGACCAAAATCAGTAAAGAGAATGTTTAATTACAAAATAAATCGACGCTTACAAGTTGCTGCAAGCAATTAAAATCCTTGATGTACAAATATATTTTTACTTTGTTAATATTTCTGCTGCACGTATGTCTTTCAAACAGATGTCCAGGAAACCTAAGTTACCTACGCGGTTCTTGTTTACAGTGTCGCGCCAACGTAGCGTCATCCACACTTTTATCCCGAGGAGATCTCCGAATTTAAAGATTAAGCCTATACAGTAAAGAGTGTGGCAAACTGTAAGAATATGCTATCCTTGGCATTTTCGGTACAATTTTCCCTTGAAGATACCTGGACATCGAGCTTAGGTTCACACGCTTCGAAAACAACCGCTGATGGGCCGATTCTGAGCCGCAATGCTACAGGCCCATAACAGCGAACAAAACAATTTTTTCGAGTGGGAAAAAAGGCAAAAAAGCACAAAAAAGATGTCAAACATTAATGTTCGGGTCTTAAGCAATAATATAAAAAATGGTTATTTTTTTACTTCAGTTCTCCTTTAACAGCCTTCTCTAACGTGCAATAAATCAGCAACAGCAACATTAAGGAAAATTGGCCTCCTCGTAGCCAACCTTAAAACAAACAAGACCTCTCCCTCAACAGACGCAACTAACCAATTCAAGAACTCCCAGTAATGTTCCTGATGATCACTGCTTCTAACAACAACAAATTTTACTGTTCCCACGTCCTTCTTCTCCCTCCAGTCAGCAGCTCCACACACCAGCAGCAGCCCACTCTTCCCACAACTAAATCCAGTTCATCTAATCAAAGACCCAACTTGCAAAAACTATGTTGCCCAACAAGCAGAGTTTGGTCGGGGGTATAGGTCGTGTGCAAACGTTTTACATCCCCTGGCAACTCTATCTAAACTGACAAAACTGTGAAGCAATTCGTGCATCATAAGAAAAAGCTAAGTCAACCACAACCATGATGCCGAAGTTTACGCCACATAGGGTCTAGTCTTCATTTAAATTTTGACTTCCATGATTTGTTTTTCTTGACTCATTTTCTCCTCCTATAAGACACGTAGCCCTTTTTGACCTCTATAGATATTAATGGATACCATCCCGGGAACTGAACTTCCCACTTTAATAAGTCTAGGTTTTTGGCATGTCCACACCCGTTTGAGGGGGGCGTTCAGCTTTTGGAAACAAAATCATTTTCACTGATTTTTAAGGTTCATTAAGGTGACTCAACCCAGTCATTTTGCGAGGATATCATTCTACTTTGAAGCACTCTGGTATCCTCACCTTTACTTTGATCATAAGTCTAACATTTAGCATGAATAACACATAGATCAATCTAAAATATAGCATAAAATTTTTGGCAATTGGAGGAAATGTCACGTGGTTACAGTGCCACGCCTCTTTGGGGTCTGAGTCGAAATTCTGCTGTTGCCGGCATTTTTTCGTGAAAATCTCTCGGCTACACATAGTGCACATTAGTGCCCTGTGTTGAACAGAGTTTCACCAAAAAGCGCAAAGACCCAATGCGAGAAATTTAGCAGTTTCCCAATTTGGATCATAATTTATGTGGAAATGATAAACTTTACACGATTATATCTAATAAACTATGAGATTTATCCCTTTATTTTGGGGATCTTTATGACAGATGCGTCCTTGTAAGTCGGTAAAAAGCTTTAGGGCCTTGTAAATGCGCACGATTTCGAGCAATGAAAACATGTAGAAACTATAGTTTTAGCCATTTGTTGGCGTTTGTCAGCGTTTAAGAGTCCTTCTCATGAAAGAAGCATTTTCTTAAAAATTCGTAGTTTTTTTTCCTTCACATTTTTTCAGGGCCACAATTGATTAACTACCAGGATTCTGAATTTCATGGTCATTGAAAAACTGTGACATTATCTTCTATAAGCCCAAACTTGAGTAAACATTGAAGATTTTAAGCGTTTTGGCTGAGTTTGTGCTTTGGGAGTTTTCTATTGTTTCTAGTCTGTCGTGATACAGCATTCTTATTCAGCACATGTGCAATGACCACGCTTGGCTGACTTCCGAATGCTCACCAAGATATGATTGTGATCAGTGTAATCTTTCTAAAGGGTTCTGTTCCCATTTATCACATTTCAGTGTCATACGCACCCCATACTTCTGAGCTATACAATGTAGGCTTGAACAGTGTGTTAGAAAGGTTGTTGCAAGTACCAATTGCTAATTTTTGGAAGTCAAGAAAACTTTTTGATGCAAAAATACAGCATCTACATTTTTCGATCAGTATTCCGTTTGAATTTGAGAAGTTACCATTAGCCCAGAAGGCAAGTCCTAGGTAGGAATAGTCTTGTGCATTTCAATAGGGTCATAATCAATAGAAAAGGAATATTTCTCAAGCATTGATTTGTGGCATCGTTTCTCAAATTCATGGTTTTTGTCTTTTTGAGATTTATGGAGAGTTTCCAGTTTTTGCAGTATTGCTGAAAGATATTTAGGCTTGTTTGAAGACCAGTAGCACTGCATGAGAATAAAACTTCATCATCAGCATACAATAAACAGCTTAATGGTGAACCACTTGGGAGAACAACTGGGTCATTAGAATTGCATGCTTTTAATAGATTAGGAATTCCATTCAAATATAGATTGAATAGCAGAATACCTCTTCCATGGGTAAAATAATCAGTTCTTTTGCTCTCAAATTTTATGCTGTTAAACCCCATGGTAACCATCAGAACAAGAGAAAGCACAAAGGAAAAACTAGCCGAAAATGTGTCCATTATAAGTGTAACACAAAAAGAGTACTGTTTGCAACAGTCAAGAACCTACAGACAGGCCAAACGTATTATGGAGAACTTGGGTCTGACTCCTGGATCATCTGAAAAAAGTGTCAATGACCCTCTGACCCTCCCTCAAGATCATTCATTGATAGTGGACGCCACTGCCTTACACGGTTTAGTTTGCTAACAGTGGAAGTGTTCTTGCACATGCGCATGATTTATCAGGAACATCAGCCATCATTGTATTGCCGAGGCAATGACAGTGGGGGAACTTGACAACCTAGTGGCGAGTTTCTCGACCGGGAGCTTGAATCAGATTACAACAGCAACAGCTCCCCCACCTCTAGGTTCCAAAAAGCCACCAAGGTAATGCAAAAAATGGAAGATTATCCATTGCAGCAGATTGAAGATGAGGAAGCACTCCAGTCAGGACAGTTGACACCACAGACAGTTGGAGAAACCACTCTTCTGATTAGGAAGAACAAGAAGCCAGACAATCCTATTCCCAGCGCATCACTAGTCCTCAAAAGAATTGCTGGAGGAGTGCAAAAGTGCGCTGGATACCGAGGAGATATCACCTCGTCGGTCAAAGGCTGGTCACTGGTCAGGCCACTTGAGGCATGAATACCTAATTACATATGCATATTTTCTTAACTGCTATTTAGAACGGTTTGCCTCCGTCAGTGATCCTGAAAAGTGAACTAAAAATGTGGCTCAACGAAAAAAACACAAAACATGATTTCAAATAAAACGCAACATTGCTTCGTCAATGACGTCACAAAATACGGTTTTTCTAAATGGAAAAGGGTTGCAAACCTTAATCATAGGAATTTTGGCTACCAAAATGTTACATAAACAGTGTAAATCGTAAATCGTAAATCTGCCTTGTATGATTGGAAATGTCATTTATCCTATTAGCTAATTAACTAATTAAAAAGTCACGTGACTCTTTTCCCTTTATTTACCAACTCCTGTATAATGTCAACACCCATACCAGGTGAATTCTCCACAACTTTTTTAATAGCCTTAAAATGTACCTAAAAGAACTTGTTGCTTTTGCATTATCCTTTCTCCATTTTACAGTAAATAGTTTGACTGTTAATTCTCAATTATCAGTCACGTGACTAAACTTTGAGCTCTTAAAATGTTTCGTATTTCTAAGGCCATTAAGCTACATTTGTAGTTCAATTTTCAGGATCATTGATAGGCTCAAACCGCATTTTATCAAAATATGCATATTTAATTAGATAGTCATGCTTTAAGTGGCCCGAGCTGGATTCAACAGCGTCAAAAGTTGCATGGACATCCGTAGTAGGATCTGACTCTGGCCACTCTGACAGCTGTGATGGTGAGTAGGTTTGGGTGGTCACCTTCATCACTGTCGCTGTTGGTTCTGTGGTACTCTCTGCACTCTCCATGCAATCCTTTCAGTGTTGCGAGTTCTTCCACCCCTCTGACTGTTCCGCTCTTTATTTACACGGAGAAAGTCACATGGTAGTAGCAGGTTTCGGTGAAGGACATGCTTCTTGCCATTGCGTCCCTCCGACTTTAACTCATAGACAGAGCTCTCTCCTTTTCTTTTCACCACTAAGTGAATCTGGCCCTCCCAGAACCCCTAAGTTTATACGGTCCCCCACGCTCTGAAAGATTCCTCACAAGAACTCTGTCCCCTGGTTTCAAGGTTCTAAAGTGCGCTTTGTGATCTTGTAATGACTTTCCCTTGAGAGCTAATGAGCGTTCCTTTTTGGCAGCAGGTGTGTATGCTTCTGACATAGCAGACTTCCATTTCGTGACATGAGTGCTGTGACTGCCCTTTACTGACTCTATCGAAGTTCCAAGAATCATATCAATAGGCAAACGAGGTGATCATCCGAACAAAAGGAAGGATATGTTGTATCCTACTGGTTCCACTCGTTGTACAATTGTATGCATGTACAACCTTTGGATGTATTCATACCACCTACCCTTCCATTCTTCAGGTAGAATTCTTAGCATCGCCAATAGGGTCAAGTCATGGTCTGGTCTGATCCAGTTTAGCTCACTTTCATTTTACCTTTTAGTTTATTTTCCCCAAAAGGACAATGATTACGAATGAAACTTTTTGAACGATGAATGGCAAGGGAACCTGTAAGGAGCACATAAAGCTTCATTAATGGACTACCCTTTAAGCAAAATTAATTCACTATATATATCACAATCATAGGATAATAAAAATAGCCATAGGATGAACAATCTGGCTAAGTGTACACAAATATTTTGATCACAATTTATTAAATATTAAAGAAATTTAGTTAATCAAAAACTCTTGCTTCACAAGCTTTGTGTAAATATCCAACTGCCACCTCAGGATGACCACTGAGAAATACGAATACCATTTACTCAGAAAAAGCTTTTCATCTCAGTAGTAATCCCCTTCGCGAAATCTGACTGATATCTTTTCCTTTCACATGAGTTCAACATCTTGTGAGAGCAACTTTGTGACTGGAAATTTTTCAGTTCCCTCACCCAGAGCTTTAGCTCGCAAACCCTTATCAACAATGTTTTTTTAATAACAATGTTTAAAGAGGGGGCTCTCACCACCAAAGTGCAATAAATTATTTATTAAATAACAATGATTTTCATAGAGATTTTCCAAAAATTAATCTAGAGAACCTTAATGTCCTAAACAAATTACCTCTCAAGTAAGTAAAGCACCTGAAATGAGGAAAGCAACTCAAGAAAGCAAAGCATACCAGGTAAGCAATGCACCTCAGGTAATCAAAGCGCCTCAAGAAAGCAAAGCATTTCAAATGAGGAAAGCATCTCCAGTAGGCAAAGTACCTCAAGTAAACTCGATGGGCTTGAGGTGCATTTACTGTTTCTTTTTTGCGGAAACAAAACATTGCTGGCTTCTCTTCTTCCATACTCATTGCTGCACCTATAACTGCACTTTTTGGTAATTCCCGCATTTCAATACTTGCCAAGTTCCAGTCCAAGGTGACTGTACAAGTGGAATAACCAACAATGTCTCCGCGACTAACAGAAACGTTACGTACTGAAAAATTTTTGTAGAACTCTCTATAAATTTCTTGGTGGCCCCTGAAGAAGGGTGAAAACAATAGGAAACCCTCATGGGGACGGCCAATGGTGGCTGAAAATTTATTTTCTGCCGTGAAGCAAACATGATCAATCTCCACTTTTTGCGATGAAGCCATTAGTCATTTTTCTGTTTGCTTATCTGTGATTCGTGGTTTTCTGGCATTTAAGGACATGCAAGTGAGCCCCGCTGCTACGAATTTCTCTTACAATGAATATGATGCGGTAAGTTGCAATTGTTTGCAGTGAGATCAATTTCCCGCCTAGCCCAACTTAATGCCTACACCTCGCTATTACGGACACCCATTAATGCGCACATTAGGGGCTCAAAAAATTATTCTAGAAAAGACATCTGGCTAATATGGCCACTCTTTCTCTGCCGTGCGCAAAGAGACTGAGTACTTTTATTTCTATAAAATGACAAAATCATTCACACCTCGGTGGCCAACAAGTCACCCCAACACACTTAAAACTGAATGATTAAACACCTGGGTTCTTGGTTGATTTTCCTTTCAGAGGGGGTGATCCCAGAGCTATGAGAGAATCCTTGAGGGCAGTGCGACTCCGTCATTACTCAATAACAACCACATGGTGAGTACAATATTTGCGGACCAAACTGAACAAGCGTAAAATCAAATGACATGCATTCTTTAATAAATTGCCTGGTGAGAGAAGGTCATCTGCAGAGATTTGTAATCTTCTTGTGTTTCAGGAAAAACAAGCTAGTATAAAGGAGCAAGCTTCTACCAGCCTTGAGGCTAGGAATTCATCTTACAACAACAATGTGGTGCGTTCGGATTTTCTTCCCAATTTCAGTTCTTTTAAAGTTAAACAAACTACTGCCAGTGGACGGCCAAGCCTAGAGTGTTACATTTGAGTGTACAAGGGGAAAACTTTAAAAAACCGTCTGTAATAACATCTGTAAACCTGAAGAAGGCTGGTATGGCCAGCTGAAATATTGTTACAAAAAACAATACACGTTGTTTTAAATCAGCTTTGCAGTAGTCTTTGGACTTCTCGTTCTAGGTTCTTTATATTTCGGCTGATTAGATCTCTTTTGTAGAGATCCAACTTTTACAACTAGCAGGATCTTTGTCCACAGTTTTTGCAGTTAATTTAATCCGTCTGTCTTAACAATTCTCAAAATGCGTGAATGTCTAAACCGTTTTAAATTTCTTCACTTGATGTCTTTGTGTTTGGAGGTGGTTATTTGTGCATCTTTCGCACAGTGTTGAAATCGGGTGTAGTTTTTGTGCAAAAATTCGCACTATAGTGACTTTTAGACTCAAAAATAACCTCAACAGCCCTTGACATAGATCCTCTATGCAATTCAGCCCCGAGCGAATGAGCCTTCCACAAATTATGTGACCATAGGTCCTCTGCTGACACAAACGTACCCAAGGCAATTAAGCAATTCAAACATGCATAATGCCCCGTTAAAAGATCAGTCGTTCAGGCGTCTGCGCCTGGAACGCTCAGTCACGTCAGGATTATATTCGTGGACCGCATTGGAAGAGTGTGGAGTGAAATGAGCTGCATTCTTTGATGAATTATGGCACTCGCTCAAAAATACTTCTCAAGTCTCAAGTCAATCTTCTTCGAGACAGTGCTGCCATGAATCACGTCATACCATTTCCTGCATACAAGCATCACTGTACAAATTCTCTCAGTTTCCAAGAGAAAACTAAATATCAGCGCAAGAACCAAGTCTGGTAAACGAAATGACAACAACAAGAACCTTTACTATGCTTAAAGGAACACCCACATAAGAGAAATTGTGAAATATACATTTTTGGGCAAGTTGCAAAATACTGATAAGAAGTAAATTTTTCACGCTTTGCCCAAAATATTTCACAATTTGACCTGTTCCTATTCCAAATAGGCAAAAACAATTGTGTAGAGTTTACTTTTTGCTCGTAAAATAAGCACTATCTACACTACGTGTGTATGAGTACAGATAATGACATGTAATTCCAGCAAACACAATTTTTTTGGACAGTGATAGACTGCACAAAGTGTGGACGAACAGGGATCAAGTACCGTTGCATTGCTTGTAAAATTCCAATTTGTACTGTATGCTCTGTATCTTCCTCTACCAAAACACCAGGTTATTGTGAGGAAAGCTACCTTGTTGGAGACTGCGAGGATTGTCAAGGCAATGGCTGTAAACGAAAGATCTGAGCTTTCAACTGCACCAAAACCCCGACAATCCAGTCTGTCCACTTTCCTTAAAGCAAAAAGGAGGCCATCTATAAAACCATCATCGGAGACACATAGATTGAAACCTCAAGAAACATTGCCATTAACATCCACATCAACTCCTCCATCAACCAAGAAACCCAGAACATTATCCACAACAACAGCTAATGGTTGGAAAACAACAGCCTTGGCCACACACCTGGCAAGCGAGTGGCTTGTTGTCAACACTGGAACAACAAATCAGATCGTGTAACGAGTTTAAATTGCTCTGTATGCAAAGCCTACACTGGCAAGATAAACGGAATGAAAAACCTTCCCACCACCTGAGCATTTACTGGGTCCACCAACCTCTGCTTAAGCAACGCTGAGGACCATGCTCGGGGTGAGCCACATAAGAGGGCACTGGACCTGCATTTGAAAGAAATGAAAGGACAGCATGAAAGAGCAGAGACCATGAAAGCTGCCAGTGATTCTGCACAGCAACTGATTACGATCGGCATCACCAATATGCAGTCAAATGACCTTGCCAGGACAAAAACCAAGTTCGAAGTTGCATACTTTGTTGCTAAGGAAGAAATGCCTATTTCAAAATACCCTTGACTTCTAAATCTAGAAGAAATGCAAGGGGTAGACTTGAGGAAAGCATATCACAGTGAAAAGAGTTATTATATGTTCATTGCTCACATTGGAGAGGAACTGGGGAACTTTTGAATATCTCATTTAGATTACTTAACTACAATATCAAATTAAAAATACTAAGACTAGTATTAGTAAAATGCATCTTTTTATCTTTTAGGGACCCATTGGGTAACTCAAATGGTAAGTGCTTTACAGCATGTTGTTGACAAGTATGGCCTCTATCTTCAGCATCTCCAGACAATGTCTGAGGAGAGATCATTCAAGGCAGCAGATTGCATGAAGTTTCAAGGCTGGTTAAGAAAGTGGCAGCAGGCAATGATTCTAATTTTACCATGCCTCTTCATCCAGTTACTCAGCCCAGCCCAGCCCAGCCCAGCCAAAGCTTTGTCTCTCGCGTTCCAAGGTGATGAAATCGATATAGTTTCATCAGTAGTACATATTCAAACTAGAAATGAGCAAGTAGAACCTCTGCAACGGAGAGACCTCCAGGATCTTCCAACCTAGAAGCACTTTTTGCAAAAGGTTCAAGAAAATGATGAACAGTTAAAATACCAGAATGTCACCTTACCATCTTTTAATGCTGCAAAAGAATCTGCCGAACACAAAAACTGTGTTGCTAGGCTGAATTGAGGATTATCAGGGGTATCATTACTTTTGGTTGTTTTTGATCAGGAAATTTAACTGGTCCGTGCTAAGTTATGAAGGGTGGGAGAGAGAAAATGAAAATGGAAAGAGGATCTAGAGTTTGCCAATGACTGTGTGGCTGAGCTTTATGAGAACTTCAAAGAACCACTGTCAAAGGCTGGCTTCAATGGGTTGCTGGGCCATTTACTGGATCAGTGGCATCATCTCCTTGAATATACGAAACTGTACCTTCAGCCCTTGAAAACACCACACCTTCAAGTGTAGACACGTATCTTCGACTCCAGTCAAAGTAACGAGTGGAGCATGGTGCTTATTTGCGTGGAGTTTCTGTTCGCCATCCCAATCTCTAACGCCAAAGTGGGAAAGGCTATTCTTGCTCATGAATCGAGTCAAGACAGATACAAGGGCAACACTCAGCGAGAGCAGTCTTATTAACCTCATCACAATTTGGGCAGAGGGTCCGGAGCCTCAACATTATGATCCTACTCCAGCTATCGAATCATGGCTACTAAGTGCCCACTGCCAAACTAATTAAAAAATACAGAAGTACAAAAGGCAAAAATGTCAAAGGCTTTAAACTGATGGTACTTCAAATGAAGAGAGTTAAGCAGAGGATGAGGAAAACAGTGCAAACAAAGGAGCAGACAAAGGCGAAGAAAATGCATTAATAACAGAGCTAGATGAGCTCGAGTAGAGAAAATTCGTAACATTTTTTTACTCATTGACATTAACAACACTGAGGACCAGGCCCTACACGGACAGTCAAAAATAAAGTTGCTGCTTCACTAATGCTTCGCAGCAATTATTGTCAATGCGGGTTTCTGTTACAATTTAACATTCTTGTCAGTTGCGTAACAGTTTTTACATTATGCTCGCTGTCAGTTTACTGTCACTGTCCGAGTTCGTTTGGCTAAAAAACAACCACACACTTTCTATGCTGTTGTGTAAGAAACAGTATACAATAGACTGATCATAACGGCATTCACTTTAGACTTCATTATAGAATAATATAGGTCCAACTGAACAGATCATTGTGATGCCCGCATGCCTTCCAATCCAGTTGGGCTAAATGACAAAGAGTGGTAAAAGTGTTATAAGCTCTAAGCAAAGACTTTTTTGGAAATCTGTACCCCCAGTTTTGGTTCATGGGTCCCTGTTTTAAGAGTAATTTATCTTATACATTTGACTTAAGATGTATCAATCGAAAAAGAAACATGTTCCTGTTAGACAAAGGCATTCTGAACAGGACAAGACAAAATATAGCGGAAAAAGAGAGAAGGGGAAGAATGCCACCAAAGTGATGAAAGTACAGACATTTCAGTTACTCAAAAACTTGTTGTCCATGTCCGTTTTATGACTGAGGATTTTGTTCCTAAAACTCGCTTTCTTAAAAATCCTGATCTGTCAGATGGAAAGGCTGCAACAATACTGGATACCCTGAAAGCTGTTCTGTACTGAGCACAGTGTTCGGATTAGGAAGTGATGGAGCTACAGTTATGACAGGCGTGAAAGGTGGAGTCAGTGGGTTGATGAAAAACGAAAACCCAATGCACTGCCTTGCACATCGACTTGCTCTCTGTACTAGCCAGGCTGCTACTGACATTCCAGCACTCAAGGGTTATCAGCAGATAATCACTGACATCTATTACTACTTCAGTAAGTCAGCCAAGCGCACAGCTGGTCTAAAAGAGTACAAGACGTGCTTGAAAGTGATGTACTCAAGGTGAAAGACGTTCACAGTGTTCGTTGGCTTTCCTTATACAATGCACTTTATGCCATTTACTGTTCCTGGGGTGCACTTATTACATACTTTGCAACACATGCTCTATCAGATGCCAAGGCCAAAAGGGTTTTTGAAGAAGATTACTCAATATGAATTTATTGCCATCACTCATTTCCTAATGGATATAATTCCCATCACTACCCAACTCAACCTTGACTTTGAGAAGGAAGACCTTGACTTGGCAGCAGTAAACCCAGTTGTTGAAACCACTCTTCAACATGTCAAAGTTGCCAGGCAAACATCAACAAGAACTCAAAGAGAAAATAAAGCAGGAGGGCTCTGATAGTACACTTGAGGAACATGTAATTCAAGTCAATGACAATCAGAAGTCTACAGTTCAGAAAGCCAAAAATGACCTTGTTGTAGCTCTAGAAGCCAACTTCCAGAAAAGGTTCCCTAAGGAGAGCATGAGTGTTATTGCTGCATTTGAAATACTATCACTAAGATTCTTATCATTTATCCCAAGTGCAGAAATTGACAATTATGGCAATGAAAAGCTAGAGGTACTCATAGAACATTATGGTAAAGATCAAGAAACACAGAATGGAGTTTTTGCAGCTGTGATTGATGGTCCAGCGTGTAGAAGGGAGTGGAACATTGCAAAACGTCTTGTACTTCAGCAGAAGTACCCTCATGATAAAATGTCCTTATTGTGGAAAATTATGTACCAGAATCACAAGGATGTCATTCCAAATCTGATTGTTTTGGCTGAATTGGCTTTGATTTTACCAATTCATACCGCTGACTGTGAGCGGGGCTTTAGCAATCAAAACCTAATGAAAAGCAAGTCAAGAAACAGAATCGGAGACGCAGCCCTGAATCACCTAATCCTGCTGTCAATTGAAGGGAAGCCTCTTGAGGGATTTGACTTTATTGAGTCCCTCTCTGCATGGAAAGCACAGAAGGACAGAAGAATATTCCACAAGGATTAGAATAATCAACACAATGTAAAGTGTATTCTTCATTTCAAGTTCTATTTAATACAGTACCGGTACTTATGAATCAGAGAGTTATAGCTGCGAAAAAATTGTCTGTCCTCTGCCTTTCAGGATTTTAATGTCATCTTGGGCGAAGGAAATGTTTAAAATTCTACATTTTAATTCAACAAAGTTGATAAACAACAAAATGCAGGAGACCGCCCCTTTATTGATATTTTTATTCATTTTAATGTGATGCATGCTTCAGCAATGAACAAAATTTCTTACTATTTTTATTGCATACATTCTGATTCAGATTGCACTGCTGTTCGCTTTATTGCCGAAGATTTACTGTATTGTGTATTAAAAGGAATGCTCCAAGTCAGCTTCGAATAAACTGACATTTTCATTTTCTCATCTTTCCAACTGTTTCTTCTCTCTTGGGTACTAGAAAAATGCCAGTACATTTGCCCTTTCTTGAAAAATCTGGCCCCCAAAAATGGGTTGTAGGTGCCACTTTGGCCCTCAAGGAGAATTTTCTGGCTGGAACACTGAATCAGTACAGCTGTTTCTACAAAGCGTCCTTCAGTAGTTGCCCCTACTATCTGGCTCAATCCAGATCAAATCCTAAAGCGACTTCATTTGAAAGAAATTATCGGAGAATGTGAAAATATAGTGCATGGGATCACTTACGTTGTACCCTCTATATTGGAAAATAAATCTTTTGAAACCATAAAGGATTGGATTTTACTTGGGGCATTATTCTTGCAAAGGCCAAAGAAAGGGGTCCCAATCTCCTGGATGTAATAACAGCAATTTGTTGAGGGAGAAAAGAACAAAATATCCATTCAAGTGGAATAACATGAATAGCACCAATTGGAACTATTTACTCAATATTGTTGCACCAGGTTAATAGGGAGCTGAATCTGGTCCAGCCAATCAATACAGTGTTATTAGCTAATAGTCAGGCTGAAATCAAGGCGTGTGAAAGAGGGCAAAGTCCCCTTATTTACCCTGCTAATAAAGACAAAGTACCCTTGTTTTCATTTTCCTTCATATAACTAAATAGTATTGCCTTCTGACCAACCCAACATATATCCTGGCTTTTCTACATTACGATTCAAAACTAAATGAATTTCATGTCCTTTGAAAAAATGATATTTTCAACACAAGGCAGATGAAGAAGAATATACACTGATTAAAATCATCTGAATAAAAGATCCCTTTTTATGAAAAGAGAAAAGGAAGGAATAAATTGATAATTTCTGTTTTTCATAAAATAATTTTTACATGTCATGTTTATAGTAATTTAATACACAAACCGTTTTATCTTTTATTTCTAGTTGTATGATCAATTCCAAAAGTCTGGAATTTCACTCTCACAACAATCAATGCTTAACATTTTGGATTTCATTGGGGGACACTACAGTGATGGCCTCACAGAACCACATGTTTTTAAACTCTGGCATGCAAAGTGGGATTTACTCATGGTAAGAGGTAACAATAATTTGTTAGAAAAATTAATGTCATGTCAGAACAAGGTTTTGTGTTAGAAACCAAGCTGACAATAAGAACTTGTATTTGCCAGTACTGTCCACTTTTAAAATATTTTGAAAATTTAAATGTAGTCCATTATAACCCTGCTAATAATTGTTATAGTTCCTTTCAATGTACTATAATAATACTAAAAAAGAAGCACAAAAAAAGAAACATTAAAATAAATTTTTGTCTATATTGCAGTTTGTAAATGAGAACTGATGAAACTCAGTCAGTTCATGAGGTTGGAACAATGAAATATTTCCAAGAAAGAACAATGAGGCACACTGTGTGCAGTGACATAAAGAAAGATGTGAACGGATTTCAAGATTTCTTCCTGTTTGTTGGTAGGGCTTATCTGGCAGCAGCCTTCACTGAGTACTTTACAATAGACTCAAGCACTGGTAAGCCAACAGCACACATACCTCCTCCCAACAAAAAAGGAGCAAACCAAGTGGAATACTTTGAGCAGACCACTGGCTCCTTTCTTGATAGATATGTTCTTCACGACAACTTTCAAGAAATTCAGTGTGACTAAGAGGACAAAGTAATGCACTATGGCCTACGTGTCATTGAGTTTGTACTCTTACTACTGCAGATGATAGACAGTTCATGAAGGTGATGGTGGACGTCAAGTATTGTCATTGTCAAGTACTTGCTATTGATGTTTAACCCTTTGCGGCCCAATGGCAGATGCATCGGCCATAACAAGAAACAGAAGATTTTGGCCCAGCGGATTCCCCATATTTAGTCCCCAGACCTCTCTAGGCTAAAAAACTCATCCACCATCTTGGATACTTAGGTTTTCGTACTTTCAGACGATTTTAGGTTGCTTTAGTGAGATTTTTTTACGTTCTTCGGCTGTCAATTTTCCCAGGAAATATTAAAGGTAATTTAATCATGGCAGGCGCTAAATGGCGCTACACTATGCCAGAATTATTGGACTATTTGGACGATAACTTCGATATACCCAATGATGGAGTGAATTCTGACATCAGAGGACTTGATGAAGATTTTGATGAAAAAAATGATCTGCTCCCTGAAGTGGCTGTCTCTGAAGATGAAGATGACGAAGATGTAGACCTCGCCGCTCTTGATATCGAGGAAAGTAGCCGAGGAAGACCAAGCAATGTAAGTCTAAATGACTTTGAATGGAGTAGTGTGAGAAGTGACATTGATATTCCCAGCTTTTCGCAAGCTGTTGGGCCAGCAAATGTTATGCCCAGAGAGTACTTAACTGTAGACTTTTTCCAACTGTTTGTTGATAATCGCATGTTGTGAAATATCCTAAGAGAGACAAATCGCTACGCCTGTCAGTTATTACAAGCTAGAATCAAAGATGTTCTTAGCTGGAGAGAGATTTCTCTTGAAGAACTGAAGGCATTTTTGGGCCTTCTCATTTGCATGAGTATTCACAGGCTCCCAAGTTTGCGAGATTACTGGTCATCTGACTGGGTGTTGGGGGTCCCAGAATTTGCAAAAGTAATGCCTAGGAACAGGTTCTTAGAGATCTGGAACAACCTCCACCTTTGTGACAACAGCAAAATGCCACAGCGTGGGGAGCCAAATTTCAACAAGCTTTTCAAGGAGAGAGAATTTCTCAATGACCTGAACACTAACTTTCAAATAAATTACAATCCCCACCGTGAGCAAGTTGTTGATGAGGCGATGATAAAGTAAAAGGGAAAGACTTCCCTGAAGCAGTACATGCCTATGAACCCCATAAAGAGGGGGATCAAGATGTCGGGCAGAGCTGTCAGCACCAATGGTTACCTGTGTGAATTTGACATATACACAGGTAAATCCCCACAAGGAGTACAACATGGCTTGGGATACTCAGCGGTCACCAAGCTTCTTTATCTCAACAAAATACTCTGTTGTGGGACTTTCCAATCAGGCCAAAAAGAGTTCCCTGCATGCCTCTATGACAAAGCAGCGATCAAAAGAATGAAGAGGGGTGATGTGGTGTGGAGAATGAAGGGTCCAGTGTTGGCTTTAACATGGATGGACAAGACAGCAGTCCATGCAACTGGCACCTACACCCAAGCCCCTGCATTGGTGATCCGCTAACAACGGAATGGCACCATCGAGAAAATACCCAGTCCCGAACTGTTTTCATCTTACAACACATACATGGGTGGTGTGGATAAAAATGACCAGATGAAGTCTTACTACCCCATCCCAGAGGCTGGAAAGAAATGGTGGAGCAGAGTCGTCTATGATCTTATGGATAAATCCATTCACAACAGCTTTGTACTTGAGCAAGAATCTACACACCATGCAAAACGGAGTCAGAAGCTGTTCCGGATCGACCTTGCCAAACAGCTGATTGGCAATTTTTCTTCGCGAAGAAAGCGTGGAAGGCCTTCTGATGAGCATTTACTGGCTAGACATGTTGAAAGACATTTCCCTG